CCTAATATATCATACTTTCACCCATTTGGTTGTCCCTGCTATATTTTAAATACTCGAGATCAACTGGGAAAGTTTGATTCTAAATCTGACAAGGGAATTTTTCTTGGGTATTATGTCAAAGGACAAGCCTTTAGAGTGTACAAAACTCGTACTCAAAAGGTGGAAGAATCGGTTCATGTTCGATTCAATGACATCACCTCTGAGAAATCAGATTCTAGTCCTTTGACGTTTGACTTGTCTGAATTATTCTCAAAGTTTGATAAAGTTTCAGATATAGAGCAGGAGGCTAGTGACAGCATGCAGAACAACTCTGGAAACCCTCCTTCTTCTATGCCAGATGATACAGATAATCAAAACTCCTTAGATACTATCATTGCTGCTCCTCCACACATTCAGAAGTGTCACCCTACTACTCAAGTCATTGGGGATATCAATGGTGGTCTCAAACCTAGAGGTAAGTACATACCTGGACAATATGCCTATGTGTCACAAATAGAACCTAAGTCTTACAAGACTGCTTTAGGAGATGATGCATGGTTTCTGGCAATGGTTGAAGAACTCTCTTAGTTTGCTCATCTGCATGTTTGAGATTTGGTACCAAGACCTTTGAACGTAACTGTTATAGGCACTAAATGGGTTTTTAGGAATAAAACTGATGAGATAGGCATTATCATTCGTAATAAAGCTAGATTGGTTGCTCAAGGATACTCTCAGGAAGAAGGTATTGACTATGATGAGACGTTTGCCCCTGTTGCACGTCTTGAATCAATTCATCTTCTTTGTGCTTATGCTTCATTTTTGGGATTTCCATTATTCCAAATGGATGTTAAAAGCGCTTTTTAAACGGAGTTATTGAGTAGGATGTGTATGTTGCTCAACCTCCAGGTTTTGTCGATCCCAAGTATCCTGATCACGTTTTTAAATTGAATAAGGCTTTGTATGGTCTCAAACAAGCTCCTCGAGCTTGGTATGATCGCCTTACTACCTTCCTTTGTGATCAAGGTTTCATTCAAGGATCAGTTGACAAAACTCTTTTTACCAAACATGTCTCATCGGATTTTCTGCTTGTTCAGATTTATGTAGATGATATAGTTTTCGGTTCTACCAATACTAGTCTTTGTTCCTCGTTCTGTGAGTCTATGCAAAGTGTTTTCGAGATGAGTCTGATGGGGGAACTTAAGTTTTTTCTTGGTCTCCAGATTCAACAAACCCCTGCTGGTACTTTTATTCATCAGTCCAAATATGTGTCCAACATGCTCAGTAAATTCGATATGACTGCTGTTAATCCCAGTCCTACGCCTATGGCGACTAATGTAAAACTGGACAAAGGCGAGGCTAGTATACCTGTCAATGAATCTTTGTATCGTGGCATGATCGGATCTCTTTTATATCTTACTGCCAGTCGTCCTGACATCCAATTAATTGTCTGCCTGTGTGCTCGTTTTCAATCTCAGCCTAAACAAAGTCATTTATCGGCGGTAAAACGCATTTTTCGATATCTGAAAGGTACTATAGATATAGGGCTTTGGTACGCGAAGCAAGATCAGTTTGATCTAGTTGGATATACCGATGCTGATTTTGCTGGGAGCTTAATAGATAGGAAGAGTACATCTGGTAGTTGTCAATTCGTAGGTACTTCATTGGTTTCATGGTCTTGTAAAAAGCAAGCAGCTGTTGCCTTATCTACTGCTGAGGCAGAATACCTTGCTGCCGGTAGCTCTTGTGCACAGCTTCTCTGGCTTAAAACTCAACTTGCTGACTATGGTATGGCTGTTTCCTCTATTCCTTTGTTTTGCGACAATACGAGCATCATATGCATGTCCAAAAATCCTGTCCAGCATTCTAGAACGAAGCATATTGACATTAAGTATAATTTCATTAGGGAATTGGTTCAGGCAGAGACTATTGTGCTTTCATATATTTCATCAGAGTTTCAACTTGCTGACTTGTTTACCAAGCCATTGTCTGCAGATCGTTTTCATTTCCTTAGTTATGAGATTGGCTTGCGATCCCATTCCTCTCTGACAGAGGTAATTGGAGATCTTGCCTCTTAATTGGTTCTTACCTTTTTTTTTCTTTTCGTTTCTGCTGTGTTTTCTTAGCATTTTCGTTCCTGTTTTTCTCCTTTTTTGGATGGCTTTTATTATTGATTTCGATTTTTTAGTCTGGTTCTTATAGTAAGTTTCTGTCTTAGGGTTTTGTCGGTTGAGTATTTATACGTGTGTTTTCTGTATCCTTTCGATTATCATTGAGTGTTTTGTCTTCCTTTCTGTAGTAGTAGCCATGGTTTTGCCTTCCTTAGCACGTTCACTGGCACTCTGTTTTTAGATCCTATTCCTGCCAATGCCCATCGTCATGATCTGTTTTTTGCCAATCGAGAGGTTCTTCCATCATATCATGTTCAGCTTCCTGATCTGATTGAAGTTGGACTTGATGTGCGTCCTTTCATTCAAAATCTTGGATGGACCTTTTTGTTGGATCATCCTTTTTCCTCTGTCATTTGTCCTGATGCTGTGCGCTTCTTTTATTCAAATCTTTGATTTACACAGCTCAGCTCTCGTTTTTTCACCACCCTGGTTTTTGGAAATCTTCTCACTATTCCCGTGGCTGAAGTTGAACGATCTCTTCACATCCCTGCCATTGGTGAGAATCTTGCTGATGCCTCTGAGCTGGAACTTTTTAATTTTGATATTTCGGCTGAGTTCCGCCAGCTTACAGGCCAGTTTCCTGGTCCAAATCTTTCCTTGCCTGTCTCGGCTCTTCTGCCCTCTCTTCGAGCTCTTCACTTTTTCATATCCCGTGTGTTTTTGCCTCGTTCTGGTAACTTAAAACTGATTACCCCTGTGGAGCTTTGGATTCTGGTTCATGCTGCTCATGGTGTTCCTCTCAGTTATGCTGACCTCTTCTTTGGCCATGCTCTTTCCTATTGCGATGTGAATGTCACTTCCCCCCTTCCCTTTGGTCCTCTCATCACCACCCTTCTGTTGCGCATTCGTGTCAATCTTCATCCCTTCCGCTTCATCACGCCCTCTATCTTTCTTACCGCCAACGATGTCATGGATCTTCTGGAAATAGTAGTTGAGGGGGAGAATGACGACGACAACGTTGTTATTCTTAGTAGCGGCAGTGATTCCGATGACTCTCCATCAACTGACGGTGATGATGTCCCAGAACTGGCTCCTTTTGCAGCAGCACTTCAAGCTCTTTATGCCTCTGATTCTGATGGTGAAGTTGCTCAATCTCAGGGGGAGCAGTAGGCTTTATGAACTGATCGGGATTTGTTTTGTGGATTGAATAATGTTTTTTTTTTTTGTGCAAGGATTTTGAGGGAGTTGATTTGCTGATTGGTTTGCCTGGCCAGGCTGTGGTCTTTGATTTCCTTTCTGGATGATTGGATGTTTACCTAGTTTAATGTATGACGTTTTTGTTGGTTCTATGAATGTCTGATGCATATGATCTTGTGAATGTCTGCTGCATATGTTGTCTTGGAGAAAATTCTTGTGTTCTGTTTTGCAGGATTCATTAGCAACTTGCTATTTCCAACTTAGGGAGAGATTGTTGAAAGATGGAAAGTTGGAAATCAAGCAAATCAAAGATACATTGGCGGTAATCAAGCAAATCAAACGGACACTGGTGCCAGCTTACCCTTTCTGGAGAAATTCAAAGGCAGCGGTCTTCTTCAAAGCTGCTATATAATCTTCCTCGGAGTAATCAAGCATGGTACTTGGTTAGAAGCGGTACAGGGCTGTCTACTTAGTGGGCTAATATGAATAGAGGAATAGGATCTGTTGAATTGGCGGTGTAACGGGTCTGGATTGGGATTCGGGGTTTCTTTCAGATTTTCACTTCATTGTTCTTGAGTCTGTTTCTCATTTTTTACTTTGCTTGATAGGGAAAATTCAATAAAAACAGAGTCTCCTAGAACTCAGTGCAGTACTGAGTCTAGGACGAGGACTAACCCAGTAGTTTGGGGAACCTCGTTAAATCGCCTTGTCCCTGCTCTTTTCTGATCTTCTTTGCTGTGCTGCTCTGCTTTTCTCTTCCCCTGTTCTGTCTCTGTTCTTCAGCCGAAAATGTTCACTTGCAAGAAAGAAGACGATCTCGTCTCTAACTGCAAGTAATATTGAAGTGGGCCTATTTTATTTTAGTTTGGTCTGTTTCTTTTGCAGGCTTAGAAGTATTTGGGCCCAGTCTCGGAGAGAAACAGAGCTCGAGGCAAAGAACGAAATTTTCATTCCAATTCTGGTTTCCTTGCTCTTCGATCTCCTTTTTCCCCAAATCCTCTAAGAACCCTAATTTATCCTTTAATTTCCTCTAATAATTTCTCCCAACAGAAGCTTCCCACATTCAATTCTAGATGGCGGCGGGGACATTGACGACCACCAATGGAGTAGTTGTGGGTTGTACTACCTATTGAGCGAAAGATTGGCGACCAACCGTGGAGAAGGGAAAGGGAATAAATTCATATGGAATTAGATCTCAATACTTTTTCTCGGACAAACAGAATTTTCAAGTTTGCTTATTTGGGAGAAATGGATTGGGTTTCCGGCCAAAAGGGTCACAGATTGGGGTTCTGAAAGAGAGAAGCAGCTGATTTTGAAGTGGTCTCTAGATCTGAGTAGCCTAGTCGGAGAACAGAGGAAGATGAAGAAGATAGGGAAGGAGAAGAATTGAGATTTAGAGGGTAAAATCTTTTCAATTTTTTATGGAAAACCCATATGCAATTCCAAACAAGAGATTTGGGAATCTCTGATGCTAAATAGCTTGTTTTTTAAGTGAAAGATTTGGATCAAATCCCCTAAACAATCCCTCATGGTCAAATCTTTTATCCAAACAATCCTAAATTAATTGTGATGTTGTGATGAGGTACAAGGAAAACCCATAAATCTAGAGCCTTGAAATTGAAAAAAGAAAGCATAATTACTTATAAGCTAATTCGACTTTTATTGAACTTTTCATTGAATAGGAAGCTAGCTAGATTCCCTATTTTACCAAAAAAGATAAGTGGAAATACAAAGAAATACTCTACTAAATAATAACCTGTAACTATTGAGAAACCAATAAATATTGGAGGCACCCAAATTATTTATTTAGTTGCAGAAAAATTAGTCTCTTTTTCTTAATTTAATTCGGTTAGCGGAGGATCATTATAATGATAGCAAAAGTCGTAGCATGCGCAAGTATGCTGCTCACATCGTCCAGCAACAACTATTCCAACACCTCCAAACATGTTGTTGCATGCAGTGTCGCATATTGAGTCCTTGCAACCACCACCTCGGATATGCAAAAATCTTTGAGGAAAAGAAGTGAACTTGTCGCAAAAATCCATCTTCGGCCCAAATTCGTGACTACGGAATGCTACAACCTCGTTCCCTAATTTTATTGCAAACATTAATCACATATGAAATCAAACCACCTTAATTTTTGTTAAGACAAGACATTTATACTAAGTACATCAAAATGAAACTTGCGACATGAAACCATAAAAATATCGATAATTACCATGGAAGAGACAAATAAGAAGAAGTATGAAAATAATCGCCCATGACAACCTTTTCATCATGGATGATTTCTCACTAATTTTGTTTTTCTAGTGGCTTTTTGTTGGAAGTAAAGTGATATGTTAGCTAGAGCATCAACTTCTATCTTACATATATATAAGGAGATTCATAACATACTTTCTTGATTTATTCAGATTCTAACTTGTACATAATTATAGGCAGGAAGCGATTTTTGTTAAATTCTTATCGCAACCGTGTGACTATTACAATCCATAAATCTCGGTCATTTCCTTAATTATTTGACTATTTGGATTTTTAAACAATTAGTTCAACCCCCTTCTTTAATGGCCTTTTTCTAGTTTTCAGTTAATGCAGCAAATAATTGCGTTCTTAATGACTATTATTTATTGAAATTCTATTCACATTACCTATAAAGTTATATCAATGTATTAGTTGAATGCATATAATCACTACAAAATAAAAATTTTATGGCAAGGGTTATTTTCACCTGTAGCAAGGGTTTTAACCCCTGCTACAGGATGTAGCAAGGGTATTCATAACCCTTGGGCGGACCCTTGACAAAGCCGTCCCTGCTACGTGTAGCAAGAGTTATAAGCGACCCTTGGTGCAAGTCATTTGCAGCGGTTGTAGCAAGGGTTTAAACCCTTGCTATACATCTGTGTAAAATTTAAGTAAAAGCCACTAGTAACATGGGTTAGAACCCTTGGATAATCCGTTCCTACATCTAACAAGGGTTTGAACCCTTGGTACACACCTATGTAAATTTATGGAAAATTGCTTCAAGAATGTGCTACTTGCAAGGGTTTAGTTTGTGACGAAAACTGAAAAACATTTTGTGGCAAAATCAAAATGGTTGCTAAAATTTGTCACTAAATAGATGCAACATTAGTAGTGACAATAGATTGGTTGCAAATACCCTGGTTGCAATACCCTTCATATCATGAATCATAACATATATGATTCATTATCCAAAATGATGTTCTTTACATGACTAAATACTAATCATCATAAATAGATCATTTCCAAAATGCTTCATACGACATTCGATCACAAAGCTCGAGATCCCATTAATGGAGCAGGAGCACTAGTGGTACCGTGTTCATAAAATGAAAAGACAACCATATAAAAAGATAGCCATGAACATATAATTTCCAGCACCAAAATTACCATGAACATATACAATTGTTGTAGTTCCAGTTATTCTTGCTGTGACATATGACTGATAATGATTTAAGCAACTGTGGCACAGCCTAAGCTAAAGAACAATGCTTCTTAATCATAAAGCATACCAATAAATACGCATGTTTTGTTACTAAACAAATTTCAAGCAACCTTTGCTTTGATGAGAGTATTAAATCTTAACACAACAGCCACTCATAACTAAATTTGGCCCAAATGACAAAGTTCCCTATAATATGATTCTCTAATCACTATTAAAAGCAAAGGAAATAATTAACTAGAAATCCTGTCCAGATGTCAAAGTTCCTTATAATCTGATTCTCTAAACACTATTATTACACTACAAAATTGGGCAATTACGGGGACTAACATAGGGGACGACTATTAGCTTTTGTCTTAGGAAATACAATCTCAAGTTAAATTAGGGACAATTGTATTAAGTTGTCCCCATAAAATAAAGGATGATTATTTTGTTGATTAGGAATTTTGTTTAGTGGTCCCTAAAAATGTAAGTTCCGGAAATACTATTAAGTGAGAGGGGAAAGCTTTTGATGCAGTGAGTTATTTTGTGCAGGAACAACAAATAAATACGGAACGAGATTTTTTCGCCATTACGGAATATTGTTTACGCTCATTTTTCTCTTTTTAACTTACCGGCCATTTATATAGGACTTAGAGTTAAACAAAAACGATGGATAAATTTAAAACTCATCTCATCTCAACCATTCATTTTATGGATCGGAATTTGCAACCATGGATTTGCTTTAAACTTAACCTAAGAAACCCTAGTTTTTATTGATAGCTCTATAGCCGCATATTTTCATCATTCCTCGCTCTTCCTTCTCCTCTCACAGCCGCCGACTCTTTTCTCACAATTCTCATCTTCTCTTGTTCTGGCCATACTATCTCTGTTATCCTCTTTCGTAGTAGTCGGTGGATATTTGCATATATAATTCTTTGGAGGTAAGTTTTGATGTAGGTGAATTTGTTTCTTACTATATTAATTAAGCTTCTAACTGTTTGTTTTTCTGTACTTTGCAGGTAATGGCCACCGCTGCGATGAGAAATTCTCAGTGGCAAAGATTCGGAGCAGGTGGCACTGGGGCAACCGACTTCATCAACTTGGAGCAGTTGGATACCATGACTGTGTCCGACAAAGTAATAGAGCTTACCGGTGGGAAGGGTGCAGATTGCTGCATTGAATCTTCTGGCTTCGACGGCCGTAGGTGTCGAGGGTTTGATTTAAATGAAGTTCATTATTTGGAAGGCATAGCTCGTAGGATAATTTCTATTCTTTTTTTTTTCCCTTCAAAAGTTTGATTTTCTTTTTTATTATGTGTTATCGTCAATACAAATTTACAAAATTATCAGTTCCGTGTATCTTCGTTTATCATCACCACATGTACGTACGTAGTAAATCAATTGTGAATTTGGTTTCTTATATACAATGGCGTTAAAATTTATCCCCTAACGTACAAGCTTAATAGACAACTACTCGTCCCTAAAATTCGCACAGGTGACTACTTGTTGCCGACACAAATTCAGACACTTATGAATTCAACATGTTGTCCCTATAGAAAACGGAACAACATTTTTTTATTTTTTATAATATTATTTGGGGACAACTTATTGTCACCAGAGCCCTAGCTATAGGGATGACATGTCGTCTTTCACTAAAAAATGAGATAACTTCTTGCAGTGTATTGGGGACGACTGTCGTCCCTAGTATTGGGGACGACCTAGTTGTTTGTCGTCCCCAAAAGAATAGAGGACAAGCGTATAAGGGACGAAATATTGGGGACGCGTATGCCGTCCTCAAAAACTATGGGGACGATTTTGCCTATTTCCGGGGACGAGTTTTGTTGTCTCTAAACCTACTTTTTTTTGTAGTGTTAGCAAGGAAATAATTAACTAGAAAAAAGGACACAAGAAACATTACCTGATTGTTCTCCGCATCCTCCATCCAGTTTTGTCCAGGAAAATTCTTACCCATAAACCTCGCCATGGCCTGCATTTGTTTGTTCACCACCGTTACCTCTTCTTTCAAAGTACTCACGTCCTCACCTGAATGACCAGCCTGACACGAAGAAGATGCAGCCCCCTGCGAGCACACTCCGAAAAACGTGGTTCGAGCTGGTCCTAACCCCATGCATCGAAGTCTCCCATTATGCTCTGGACCGGCTAGATTTTGAAAACTTCCTCCATAGAGCCCTCCATCTTATTGGCCTTATCCTTTATAAATTAACAATCAAGAGGGAAAAAATAATAAGTAGCCAGAAATGATGATCATAATTACTCAAAATTATGATGATGGTGCAGGGGCCAAACAAATTATGTGTAGGAATCAGAATGCAGCGTTGTAAATTATTAGAATTAAGGAAGAGTATTGGCATTCCCATGAAATCAGTTTGTCACTGTGTGGTGAAGCTTCTTCTTAGCATTGTCACTGTTTGCTTTACTCATTTTCTGGAAAAGTAAATCAGTTTTCATCATGTGTATCTAAACTAAGACATATTATGCATAAAATCATGGATATCCAATTTTACTGCAGAAGCATACACCCTCTATAAATTTTCCCAAAAATCATCCTTAAACCCCGAGCAGATTAGAAAACTCAGAACCAAAAACAGTCAGACATAATTGACTAGGAGAAAAGACAATGAGACATTACCTGATTGTTTTCAGCATCTTCCATCCAGTTTTCTCTGGGAAAGTGCCTACTGACGAACCTCGCCATGGCCTACATGTGTTTCTTCACCTCCATTAACTCCTCTTTCAAAGCAGTCGCATCCTCACATAAATGACCAGCCGAACAAGATACACATGCAGCCCTTGCCTGATTTTAACCTCTGTAAGCATTAACATATTCGAACTTGGACTACATTTAAACAGCATATTCAACTTCCATACATCTTGCACCCTCCTCTTTCCTCGTGTTTACTGGTTTCCGCCAATTTCCCCTGGCACCAAATGGCAAATTAACTATTGTACCTTATGAAATCAACAAAATGTAACACTTCAAACCTTTCCAATATCTGCCAAAACCATTGCACGACATGGAGCATCATAGTGCGGAAGGAAAAATCATATACAAGTGCACCAACCTGGTAAAGCTCACTGAATTGTTTGGTACCCATCAGACCAAGTTTTCATGGAGAATAATATACACACAGAACTAACCAAATCACTAACTATATGTACAGAAAAACAGTTCATGTAATAAAGTGCAAATGGCAGTAATGAAATGAAAAGAGACTGATGATACATATAGTAGCTATGCTAACAGACCCTTCCTCATGTTGAGACGATGGACGTCTATGCTGAAAACCCTCTTGAGCGTCAGATTCAGTAACGATTCTCAAATTTCTTAGATTCCTTCAACTTTAAACCATCTGCAGTCATGAAAATAACAGCATGAAGACAAATTACGATATAATCAATGGGTATATACCACCGCAAACCAATGATTTACTATTGATTTTCACCTCTGGATTTTTAATACAAGACAGAGTAGAAAACAGTAGAAATAGTAGAGTTGGTCGCATTTAACTAAGTTGATTTTCATCTCTGCAAACCAATGATTTTCATCTTTGGAAGATAGTCTGCAGCTAGCTAGCTGTTTATATAATCGACAGAAGAGGAGGAGTATTATCTTATGATACATTTAAATAAGTTGATTATCTCATCCATAAGTAGACTAAGAAGCAAAGAAAGTGACACAACAATTATCTAAGTATGCTGAACCAAATCCCAACAGATGCATCCATCCATTACTATACAGCAAACAACTACCTCCAGAAATTCATAAAGGCAACTCCACAAGTACCACGAGTGGAGCTAAGATATAGACATATATAGGAAATGGATCTAAAATTGAAATAAGCTATCCATACATCTCTTAAATAGTTTTTGCAGTCTAAAGTAAGCAAAGTCTACAAATCCTAAG